ACAGTTAATGGATTCGGGGAAGATTGACAATATTGAATTGCATCAAGATTTATACCTGCTCAAAATATATTATTCTCTTAACACACGGGTGTCTTTTTCAACATCTTCTTCGAATGTTCCTGAGTCTGTTGCGTCTGCTTCTACTAAGAGTCAAGTTTTTTATTGGCATTGTTGTTTGGGTTATCCCATTTTTTATTATAATGCAAAGTTGCATCCTCTTTTTCTTAATTAATAAAAAAAATAAAAATTTTATCAATGTGAGACCTATCAATTAGCTAGCATACTCATGTCAATCATTTATCTCAATACAAACATTCACAGCCCTTCTCTATCATTCACAGTGACATTTGGGGACCATCAAAATTGAAAACTGCCAATGAAGCCAAATTACTAGTCATTTATTGATTGCTACATTATAACTAGTGGGATATTCTTCTTGAAGGAAAAATCTAAAACCGCACAAATTATTCACTCTTTCTATAACATGATTTTCACTCAATATCCAATGCAAATTTCTAATTCTCAAAACTGATAATTTAAAAGAATACTTCAACTCTATCATTCGATCCTACCTTGCAAGGAACAGCATCATCTATGTGAGTTCTTGTGTTGGAAACCCTCAACAAAATAGGATTGCTGAAAGAAAAAATAGACATCTCCTTAAAGTATCTAGATCTATATTCCTCTTTCACAATGTCCCAAAAAAATTAGGAGGAGATGTCGTGCTCACAGCAACCTACCACATTTATGGAATGTTAAGTAGGGTTTTTAGATTCAAAGCCCCTCTTGAAAAAAAAACTCATATTAGAGCCTTCTCATCCACTATTTCTCTAAAAAATATTCGGTTGTATTTCTTTTGTTCACATTCGCCAACAAAACCGAACAAAACTTGACCTAAAATCTATCAAATGTATATTCCTGGGGTATGTTTCTAATAAAAATAAGTAGAAATGATATTATCCCATTACAAAAAAAATAGTAAAATGACATGGATATTATCTTCTTTAAGAAACGACACTATTACCCCAAATTTAATATTCAAGGGGAGAGTACAAGTGAAAATTAGACTTAGGACTCTGCTCTGGACATTTACACTAACCTAAAGTCATCACAACCTATTCTGCTTCCCAACACTACTACGGATACCCACACTGGCATAGATTGATCACAACTTATTCTCCTTCCAAAGAAACCATCATGCTTCCCAAGTCCAATCGGTGATTAAGAACAAGGAACCTCATGTATATACTGGGAGAAAGAAATCTATTAAGTAAAATAAAGACAATATGCCACTACAAGATTGTTTACTACCAACCCTAAATTCACTCATCTCTACGGTTCCAAGGGAAACGAAATCTAACAGAGAAAAAAGGAAAAGTTGCATAAAATATCCTATCCAGGAATATGTTGCTTATGGAAAGTTATCAACAACCTACAAAGCCTTTCTATCTAATCTTAATAATGTGCAGAAACATTCTGAAGTTTGGAATGGAAAAAGGCAGCTAAAGAAGAGATCCAAGCACTTAATTTAAACGACATGTGGACTCTTACAAAGCTTCATCTAAATAAAAGACCAGTTGGATGCAAATGGGCGTTCAATGCTAAGTACAGAGCAGATAAGAGCATTCAGAGGATCAAGGCTAGATTAGTGGACAAAGATTTCACTCAATCTTATAGAATAGACAATTAAGAGACATTTGCTCCATTGGCTAAATTAAACATTGTAAGAATTCTTCTCTTTGGCGATGAATAAAGGGGGAACTACATCAACTTGATACCAAGAATGTGTTTTTGAATGGATACCTGGAAGAAGTTTATATAAAAATTCCCACAGGGTTGGAAGGTGACTCAAATAAGCATCAGGCTTGTAAACTAAAAAAGTCACGTTATGGCCTCAAACAATCGCCAAAGGCTTGCTTTGATAATTTTGCCTAAACTATGAAATTTAATGAGTGCATCCAATATCAAGCAGGTCATACATTGTTCATAAAGCACATATAGGGAGATAAGAAAGCGATACTCCTTGTCTATGTTGATGATATGATCCTAACAGATGATGATGATAAAGAAATTGGAAATATTAAGAAGATTTTTGCTACTAAACTTGAAATTAAAGAACCAGGTTTAGATATAGTAGGAAATAATATGATCCTTATTTATTTATCAATTATTATGTTTACAGTTTTTTCCTTACATGTTTGTTGTACCTTTAATAAGTTGTAATTATAGAAATTATGTTTGTCCAAGATTTTACTCTCTATATAATGAGAGGAGTTGTAATTTGGAGATTAAGGAATTAAGAAATAAGAGAATATTCCCTCTCATGTTTTCCTTAAGACACTTTGGTATTTGGATTTATGTTAGTTGGATATTACTTTCTCCAACGATGTCATTGATACTAAAAATTTTAATATTGTAATTGCTTATATTTCTTAAGTAGGTTTAGATATAGGTTCAAAAAAAAAAGACCTAGAAAATTAAAACAAATGATACATATTTAAACAAGAATTTTTATTGGATGAAATGTAAATGGACATGTTGGTACAGTAGCAAAAGATTTTAGAAATATTCATGATGATTACAGCTCTTGAGAGATTAATGAAGAAGATAGAATCATAATAAACGTTTAATACTAATATTTTTTTAAGAAAAGAGATGAGCATATTATTATTTAGAGAAATGAATATAATAAAACACAAATTGATTATTTTCTTATGAGAAAAGAGACTGTCTAAAATGTAAAGATTGTAAAGTCATTCTAAGTAAAAATTTAAATACTCAACATTGTTTATTAGTTCTAAACTTTAACATGAGGAGTTCGAAAAAAAAATGTAATGAAACATTATCTAATTAAATTATTTTTATGGTAAACTTCAAGATTTCAAGATTTGGGTTGTTCATGAAGAAATTAATTATATGTGGGATAAAGTAACAAGTATTATTAAACAAGTGGCTAAACATGTACTCGAAGAATCAAAAGAAAAAATTTTTATAAATAAAAATGTTTGTGGTGGAATAACAATGTGCAAGAAAAGATAAAAAATAAAAAAATGTTACAAATATTGATTTAAATATAAAAGCTTAGAGAACAAGAAAAAATATAAAGTGGTCCGTATGGAAGTCTAAGAGCAAAATTTGTGATGTCATGAATTTTGTTTTTAGAGATCCTTATAAAATATTGAATACTAAAAAAGGTGAAAAAAATATGTATAATCTAGTCAAACAAAGAGAAAAGAAATAAAGATTCAATTGAAGTGTATTAAAAATGAAAATCAAAAAGCGCTTCTATTAGAGGAAGATATTCAACATAGATGAGAGATATTTCAATAAATTTTTTAATGAAGTTTTTGAAAATACAATCAACTTTAGTGATCATAATATAATGATAAAACTTTTTATTTTTATCATCGCATTAATAAAAGTTGAGTAGGCTTTAAAAATAATCAAGGATGGAAAATCAGTGCGACCTAATGGCATCTCAATTGAAGTGAGGAAATATTTAGGACATTAGGAGTTTCTTGGGTTACTAAAATTTTTAATATTACTTTTTAAAAACAATGCTTGAGTGGAGATAATATTTTAGTCCTCATTTTTAAGAATAAAGGGATGCACAAGTGTGTACAAATGATAAAAGAATTAAGCTCATGTGGCATACATTAAAATCATGGGAAAGAG